GTGCTGTCTAAACTATAGGGAATTGTGGGCCTTCATTAAGCGTCTAACAGTCCAGAAACAAAACTAATTCCAGCTCATGAGCTGGATTTGGTTCTTTAATAAACTGTAGCAGTCCCCTGATAATGTGATGGTCACATTTCTTCCAAATGTGACCAGCCTCTTGAAATGTAGAGGGCTTTGTCTTCTTAATGTGAACAATACACAAAATGAATTGGATGCTCCTGATTAATTCTAAGTGGTCTTGTTAAAGTTAATATATTACTTTATCTAAAATAAAATGCAGATTTACTTAGGAGCTTTGATGAGTATGTCAGTAACTGATCTTTGCTGTAGATAATCTGTGGCGATCATTTACAGGAGTAGTGTGCTGTAGCAGAAGGCTGCTTTTAAAGCTCCGAGTAGCCCAGTCCTGTAGGCTGTGTCTGCATGTCCTCTTGTCCTGCATTCCCATACAACCATGTCCAGATTGTTTTTGTCTTAGTTTTGACACTTTTTAAACACAACATCATTGTCCTGAATTTTCTCTTCTAGTGGAAAAAATAGTAGGAAAAAATACCTGCTTTATAATAATAGACCTTCCTTGAGTGCCTACCATATATAAAACACTGTCCTGGCAGTCATGGGGAGAGGAGCACAGTGATGTATTCTTCATTTTATTAAGATGTTGAGGCATTATTATAAAATAAGGCCTGAGGATATAATGTACAGCATGATGACTATAGTTAATAATATTGTATTGTACATTTGAAAGTTGCTAAGGAATAAATCTTAAAAGTTCTCATCACAAAATTTTTTTTTTAAAGATTTTATTTTTTTCCCTTTTTCTCCCCAAAGCCCCCTGTACATAGTTGTATATTCTTAGTTGTGGGTCCTTCTAGTTGTGGCATGTGGGATGCCACCTCAGCGTGGTTTGATGAGCAGTGCCATGTCCGCGCCCAGGATTCGAACCAACGAAACACTGGGCCGCCTGCAGCAGAGCGCGAGAACTTAACCACTCGGCCACAGGGCCAGCCCCACAAAAAAATTTTTTGTAGCTGTGTATGATGACGGATGTTAACTAGACTTATCGTGGTGATCATTTCACAACATATACAAATATCAAATCATTACGTTATATACCTGAAACTAATATAATGTTATATGTTAATTATACCTCAATAAAAAAAGATTTTGAGGCCTTATTAACTTATTAATAATTTAAAAATTACTAATTTTATTGTGTATATTATAAATATTTTATGAAATGTATACATGATAATTCCTGTTTCTAGGTATTTAAGATGGAAAACAACTGTTTGGCTTTATCTAAAAGAAAGAGTTGCCCCAAATGGAATGATTTGTATAGTGTAGGAAAATTGCCTTCAGTGTTTTATTTCTTGAAGTGGGTAGTGGTTAAATAGCTGTTCACTTTATAATATTTGTTAAACTGTTCATATGTTATATATTATATTCTTTTTTGGTGGTCTGTTTTAAATTACAATGAAAAAGGAGTGGGGAAAAGATTTCTCCAACCTTAAAATATCTCTTGGAGCAGTGCCTGAAATTCCATTGTTATCAGTTAATTATTTAGTTAATGTTTGACTACTCTTTTTCCTCTTTAAGATGAAACTATTCTGTGGCAAATAATACACGAAGACGTGAGCCTTTTAGTGTGATGGGTTTGTCAGATCATCTCTTCTCTGTAGCCCAAGAATCCGAGCAAATGTAGAAAGGATGATTCTGGAAGTTAATATGATGGTGGGAGGAAGAGTTTGGAAGAGGAAAATGGTTAATAATGCATGTCATCAAAATGGAGTTAGTAAACCTAAATAACGCATAGCCTATCTTTCTCACGTTTGCAGATTTCAATAACCAGCACATAACCTAGCTTTACTGAATTGCATAGCTTTCTTCTCAAATGGTAGTATGATAAAGTTCTGACTAATTTGACCTAATTAGGACGATGGTTAAAATGTAATGTTTTGAAAGTATAGTTATTGCTTTTAAGTGAAACTTTAGTAACATAAAGAAAGCTAATCAGTATTGCCTAAGTAGGGCTTTTTAAGAACTCTACATCCGTGAATAGACAACAGTAATTTATAGTGTATAAATATTATATGAATGGATACTTCAGGGGGGCTCCCAGTAAGTTAATGCTTTTAGGTAGTTTCCCCCGCAGTATGTTTTCCTAGTAAGACGTTTAAACCCCATGCTTGTCCAGTTCACATAGAAAAGGGGAATACATATAAGCAGATTTTTAGTTAGTAGTTCACCATTCTGAGTATAGAAGGTCCATGAATTAGATTGTGTTACTGACACCGCCTTATCTCATTTGTGCTGCGTTGATGAGAGTTTTCTGACTCTTGTTGCAGTAAAATGGTCCTGACAGTTGACCAGTTTATTTTGAAGAAGCCTGGCTGCATTGTGTGTGAGTGTTGGAGAGAGAGCATGGACGTGATATCTTTCCTTCAAGTCTTTCGGAAAACCATCCATCTGGTGTTTCATCTTTAAAAATTATGATTTAGGGGGCTGGCCCCGTGGCCGAGTGGTTAAGTTCACGCGCTCCGCTGCAGGCAGCCCAGTGTTTCGTTGGTTCGAATCCTGGGCGCGGACATGGCACTGCTCATCAAACCACGCTGAGGCAGCGTCCCACATGCCACAACTAGAAGGACCCACAACGAAGAATATACAACTATGTACCGGGGGGCTTTGGGGAGAAAAAGGAAAAAAATAAAATCTTAAAAAAAAAAAAATTATGATTTGGATATTGTGAATAACCAAATATTAGCTTAAGAAAATATATACGCATTGTTTGAAATTTTTCTATTTTAAAATATTCCTCAGCTTTTTGTCTACCTGTTCATTAATTTTTTAGAAGATTCGGATGGAAAGAAACTAGGTGAAAGTAATTAAGCAACCTCACTTTTCCCAAGGGGATCAGTTGTTAGACCAGGAAAAAACTAGTCAGTCTAAAGAGAGGACTGGAGCAAACCGAGGCTTATTCTTAAACTAGTTGCACAGGGCTTTGGGTAACGTGACGTTCCCCCTTACTCACGCTTCTTCAGTTGGTGTTCTTGGCACTGCGTATTGGTCCCTCTGCTGTGCCTCCTTTTCCCCAGAGCCGGGGAAAACAGCCCTAGGTACATGAAGTTAGTAATACCTGCTGAGAACAATACTACATTTCTAAAAAGTTCATTAGGAACAACTAAAAATATTAATGTTGGGGCATACCTACTGTTTGGAGCACAAATGAATGAATCCTTCCTGCCACTACCCCAGGGCCATACCACATAGAATCCTACATTTGAGAAGCAGCTCCATCCCAAATCTCTGCCTGCAATTTTGGTAATCTGCCCTTGTGATTTTTATTAACCGTTACAGCAAAATAGACAGTGACTGGCCACTGCCGATGTCTGATAGCACACGGGGTAGTTCAAGGGAGTTGGTTGTGTTCCATTTATCATACCTGATGAAATTGCCCGTAGGCCCCAATGTTATTCTTTCCTAATGCCTGGATTCTGAATGATGCTGCAACGTGAGCTTACTTTTAATGTGTATCTCTCTTTGGGTTTGTCTTTCCATTTCAGGATTCCAAAATAAGAGCAAAATTCTTATATTAAATCCCTGTTGAATTCCTTATAATAATAGCTTTTGAAACTCTTATTTGGAACCACTTATTTGGATATTCTTTTCACTTATCTTCAAAGAGTCTGTCTCTCCCAGTGGACCCCTAATAGAGACTGACTTTGAACTTTTTGAGGGTGGGACGCAGATGACACGTGGAAGGCCGTGGGTTGTGGTGGTTTAGAGCTAAGTCTCTGGAGCCAGACAGCGGGGTTTCAGAGATGAGCCCCCCACTCCCGAGCCATGGGACCTTGGAAAGGCCTGTTTTTCTTCTCTTTAAGAAATGGGGATAATGTTAGTATCTACCTTATAGGGTTATTTTGAGGATTATATGAGTAAATAGACGTGAAGTGCTTGAGACAGCACCCAACACATGGTAAGTGCTCAATAAATATTAGCTCTCATTAGTATTACAAATTCATCTTGTGACTCAAAAACTTCAGTGGTTAGTGGTGGTTACACCTTGGATTGAAGGACCTGAATTGTGGACATACCCCAGCAAGATGCCTCTCTGAGAAAGACACATAACTGAACAAGGACTTCGAGCATCCCATTGCTAGCTTCCCCTGTACCTCCCAGAGTGAGGTGCAGCCCACTTGAGAAGAGTTGTCGTGGGCACCCACACATCTCACTCCCACAGGCTTATCGACTTCTGTCCTGAGAATGGGATCCAGACTTCCTGGATGGGCCCAGCCGCTTCACTGATCTCTGTTTGGATCGTGATTTCCAACGTTGTGTCTGCTGGGGGCTCCCTCTGCTGGTCCATCTAGAATGTATGCAAATCTGTGGAATAATAGCTTGTAAAAAGTCAGTTTTAGACTTTTAGGAATGTTTGCATAAAAAACATATTTGGAAACTTTTTTTTGGATGTGAGTGATGCAAATCACATCTATATTATTCTTTTTTCCATTTGCATTATGAGTTGGAATATTTTCAGGTGTGAAATTTTTTTTTTTGGTTTGATTTGGAATGGGGGCTAGCAGGGCATGCCAGGAAACAGTAACTTCTTCACAATGTAGTTATCCAGGACTGATTATTATGTCTTACATTCCAATATATGGCACCAAATCCCTTAGATTCGTATTTTAACAGTCTAGAGTAAAAATGTCCATGATGTGGGAACTTAGTTAACTCTTAAAGTCTCAGAAGTCCCATTTTAATGTGATGTCATAGCCTAGACCCCTGTGGACATTGTAATGTTGAAGATTTAGTACGTGTCAGAAAATGGTACCTCAGATTTATTGGGTGATTCATTATTTATTAAGAATTATAATTTCTTAATAAAATGTGCCATGATGTCCCTAAAATTGCATTTTAAAATAAAGTTTTTGCTCCTTTGTGTTTTTCTGATCACTGTCTCCTTTCTTCCATCTTTCCTTCCCCCTGTTTGTTCCTAGGATCAAACAGCATAAATCGGGTAACTGTGAATGTGGAAAATGGAGAAAATGAAGGAACAACTAAAATTATTGCACCTTCACCAATAAAAAGGTTAGTCAGTTAACTGAAAGAACACACCACTATATGCTGTCACCAAAATGCTTCTTCCTGTTGGCAAGGTTAAGAATCTTTTCACTTTGATTAATTAACTAATACTTTTGATCAAAATAGTCTGTGTGCCAAAGCATACTTTAAAATGCCAGTAAAATAGAAAACATCAGAACCTGCCTCTTTCATTTGAAGGAAATGCTTCTGTTGTCACAACGTGCTGAACTCTTAGATAGTCTGTGGTCTGCATTCGTGGTAGCAAAGTGAAAATTCCATGTGATTTTTAAAATGGCATGATATAATGGACTAATTCAGAGGGACCTGTGAAATAAAGTAGATGATATTCATGTTTAATGTACTGTGTTCATTACAGCGGTGCACTGAACTGTGCCCTGGAAAGAGGGTTTGGAGCATTTAGAGGCACATGGCTTTAGAAGTCAGTGATTGCATATGTATGAAGAGTTGTCATGGTCCTCTGCATCAATTTTCCCAGCAGCATTCCCCAGCGGAAAGACCTTCTTTTAATATGTTGCATGGATTGTTTCCCTGAAAGATCAGCCTTGTTCTCTGTTAAGACGCTGTTTCAGCATCATTTTTTCCTATCTCCAATTATGTTCGCAGAAAAGCATTTTAGACATACAACGAGCAGCTTTCATCCACTCACTTTCTCTCTGGACATAGTTCCATGCACATCATGGAGAAGTCCAAGCAGTCAGAAATACGTGACCTTGAAAGACTTCTTAGATCATCTATTGCATCTCTTGTTAGTAAATAATGGTGTCTTCATTTGCCAGGATTGTGGCTACTTGGAAGAGTATAGTTTATAATTTCCCAGCGAGATAATTCTAAGATACGGAGATTCGCAGAGTTGCAATGTTTTCCCCAGGGTTTTGCCTACATTTTCTTTTGTTTAGGTCTAGGATACACCCTTTACAGATTCTCTTTTTGGAATGACAAGTTCTTTGCCTCTGCGTACACTTTAGTTGACTCTGCTTCCCTTAGCCAGCCTCACAGCTGTGGATAGAGTCAGCTTAATCTGTATGTACAGGGCATGCTTATGGTAAGTCTAACATAAGAACAGTAATCTTCCGTGAAATTCAGATCCCAAGCCTTTTTAAAATGTACAGAATGAGTTCAATCCCCTTTGCAACTGCATTCTTGACGATAGGATTGATACCTGAAGGGCCGCCAAATTTTCCACTCACGCTCGAGATGAGAAATAGCTTCGGGAGTGAATACAATTAATTTGCCACCCAGGATTTCATTATTCTTTAACTTTCGCCTGCTCTCCCAATGCCCCTTTCATCTCCCCATTGCATTTCTCAGTCTCCCTTTTCTGTTTTTGATTTTTCTTTCTAATTTATTAAACACACACACACTTTCTACTATTGTGTTAAATATTTAGATATTTATTACTTTACCTCATTTCGAAAGTAGGCTTTTTCTTTGGGAATTTGATCTTCAAAAGTTTTTTTAACCTTTATAAAAATAATGAATTGTTGATATATAAAACCTACTTACTATATACTAATGCTCTGAGTTATGTGCCTTGGCAAGTACATGATTTTTTAGGCTTATATTAATTCCTGTGTGGATGTAGTATGCTAGAGTACAAATTTCTTTTCTTTTTTTGAAATGACTTTGTCATTTTTTTCTCTCTTTTTTGTTGGCTGTTATAAAGGACCCTCCTATGACCATGTTTGAGGACAGTTGTATAAAGGATTCCTCAAAAAGCCAGGGTTAAAAGTGGATTAGGAGTTAAGTAGCTCTATCTTCCTCTGAGGCTGAGACTCCCAGGGAAGTGAGGGAGAGGTGAACCTCCCACCCCCACTGGTGACTGAACGCTTCTGATGAGTGCCTTCTTCTGTGTTTCCAAAACAATTTGTTGGTGTTGAATAACAACTCAGTTATATTTACATTCTTAGGACAGAAAGATGATACTAGGTCAGGAAATAGCATTTGAAAGTCATTCTGATTTGGAAGGATGAAGCCAAGATATGGCGGAAACTGGGGGCAGCGGAAGGTCGGTTTGGGTAGCCTGAACCTGCCCAGAGCCAACCAGCCTGCACAGAGTGAGACCCAAGTCCAGACCCAGGGGGTTTCTGACCACTGCTCAAAAGAGGCAGCCAGCCTCACGAGCTCAGATACCCCAACTTTGCTTCCTCATTAGCTTCTTTTCATGGCTTAACAGCTGTCCTTGCTTCGTTTCCTTCAGGTGGATGCTCTTAAAAGTTTCTTAACAATGGATGACTTGGCTTCTGTTGACTTAAAACAGTAAAACTAGAAAGAAAGAAGGGGGGAAAAAAGACCCCAGAGTACTTGCTGGTGACATGTATTTTTTTAGGCAGCCATTCGTATTCTTTTTGGAATGAGTCATGGGTATAAATAAAAACACACCCATATTTTTAAACATTTGTTAAATAATTTTACTGAAGAAATAAGTGTGTGAGTTCCTTTTATTTCCTAGTTAATTTATTTTCCATACCTTTGTTTTTTTTAATTAAAGCTTTAAGAAAGCAAAGAATGAAAACAGCCCTGATACCCAAAGAAGCAAATCTCACGCACCGTGGGAAGAAAATGGCCCCCAGAGGTAAAGGGAATTATTGTTTAGGCAAAGGACAACAGTAGAAAAGGGGTTAGCAATTGCAGCTTATTAAATAATGGCATCCACCTGCTGCGTGGCTGGTCATGACTAGCTGTGGACAAGGCGATCAGATTCCTAAATCAGTGTGACTGGGAATTTCCGAAATAGAAGTCGGCAGAGTGTGTCCTAACATGAAACTGTCTCTTGGAGAGACAGAAGGGAAAACTAGTGTCTATTAAGAAACTGCCTGGAAGGTCATTAGGATGGTTTGGAGTAAGATGACATATTTCTGAAAACTCTAAATCACATATTACTGATAATTTCCCCCATTTCGTAGTTCTTGTAAAAACTTTAGTTGAAAACGATGAGTGATGAATGGTGATTTCAGAAGACCTGTATTCCTAAAAATATTGATATATGTTTAGCTTCTTTCTGTTTACAACTACCAAACCTGTGACAGACCTGCATTATAACTCACCAGCTCTATAGTTATGGTAGTTTCAGGTATGACAATCCAGAGGTTCAAATTCTAGCTCTGCCACTTCCTAGCTACTTTACTTGGGCCACTTAAACATTCTGTATTTCCAATTTTCTTTTCTGTTAAATGGGCCTAATAATTGTACCTCAGTGCTTAGGGTTGATATGAAGATTAGCTAAGATAAGGAATAGAAAGCCTTTAGCTTAGTCAGCACCTGGCATGTGGTAAATTTGTCACAAATGCAAATTGTTGTTATTGCCATCATTCAAGTCTGTTCATTACTTACGATTGAAGTCCAGTGAGACAAATCCATTCCGGCAAAATAATGACTTTTATGATTTCATTTACCAGATCTTACTCTCTTTTCTTTCAATAATCTTGTCTGCAAAGAGAATCATGTGCCCACGATCCAGTATTCCCCCGAAAGTACCACCTGTGCAGTTATGACACTTCCCTAGGTCCCGGTTAGGGTGTTGCCCCCGCAGGCCCTCTGCGGGCACTGTTGACCCTTCCTCTTCCACTCCAGTGGACTCTACAACTCTCCCAATGACCGCACGAAATCCCCAAAATTCCCCTACACGCGCCGCCGGAACCCCTCCTGTGGGAGCGACAATGACTCTGTGCAGCCAACGAGGAGAAGGTAAGCTGAACACAGCCCCTCAGTTTTTAATTTTCAGTGGAACCTCTGCATCCCAGTTACATTTTTATCACAGGTTCTTCTCATAATATCTTGACTATTCGTCTCCCCAAGAAAACAGCGTATGTATTTGAGATAAAATAAGCTAGAGATCCTGAAGCATTTCTTCTAAACGGCCAGGGTTTCAGAGAACAATTTCATAAAATATTGACAGGAACTTGCTTTCTGTATTGTAATTAAGGCTGATAAGTTAAAAAATATGTTATGTGTTTAATATATTTTAACCATATATATTATATAGTATGTGTAATATATTACATAGTGTATATAATATTATATTAATAATACATGTTGATGTATAAAAGATATTAAATGTTTCTACCTGACAAGACAAAATTACTTTTATAGATAAATCTTCTTAGCTGAGGCTGAGTGCTCTGCTCTCCAGACTGATATTGTTGCATAAACTTGAGTAAAACCCATTGCAGAGCACAGAGAGTGAATCCTGTTATATTTTCTCCAGCAGGTCAGATTGTTTGTGTGATTATATTTGATGTACTTACTTAAAAAAAAAAAGTCCATATCTAGAAATTTTGGATTTTCTCTGAAAAGCGGGCTGGGTAATGTGGCAGATTCAAGAGAGGAAGACCTAGAAATGACTTACCAATGAGATTCATTTCATTCCTACATATGGGGACTGTGTTTTACTCTGGGTACCTACATAAGTGGTATTTTAAAGTTGACTTTTATAACTATGAGAAGTCCAGGTCATGTTCTCAGATAGCCATCAACATTCTTTTTATACACTGTGGATTTAGAAGCAGAAGCCCTTCTCTCTTCTCTGCCCTTCTTTGCGCTTGCTGGTCCATCCCTCTTTGATTTCTTCTACTTCTGCCAGTTTCCCAGAGTCTTATTCCCCAGCTGTCTCAACCCAGGTCCAACTTCACTGAAATCTTTTGATGGTTAAGAAGAGAAAGGTCTATGTCTCCTGACCTAGTAGGACTGAAAAGGCGAGCTAAAGGATGACCAGCAGTGATTAGATAGGATAATGGAATAGTAGTTGACATATATCATGGTCCGAGTACTGAGCAAATTGCTTACTCTATGTTATTTCATTTGATCCTTATAATAGCCCTATAGAAATTGGCATTTGTATCATTCAGTCACTAGCCATTTCCAGCAGAGAGGGATTAATGCAAGGTATTGGTGCACAGTATGACTAGGATTGAAGGAACAAAGGCAGAGAGTGGGGCAACTCTGAGATCTGGATGCTGTACTGCCCCTGGGCTGGAGGAATAAAAGAAAGGAAGGGGTGTTACCCAGAGATCCTGAAGCTGCTTCTGCCTTTGAGGTGGCCCTCGTGAGCCTGTGCTTGCTCCTGACATTGCTGTGGGCACCACCACTGTTGGACCTACTCTTGCTGCCACTACTGGAGGTACCACCACTGTAGCTAATGCTGTGGCACCCCCACTTCTCAGGAGTGCAAGAGTGGATGCCTCAGGTACTGCCAGAAGCAGAATCACTTCCGCTTTTCTCCTCCCATCAGATCTCTCCTGATTGCTTCCATAAGTGGAACCCAGCTGGTGAAGGAGTCCAGGAAAATGTAATTTTCAGACTTCCAGTCTTGGCAATACAGGAGAGACTATAGATGGGTCAGGATGGGGCTGAGTACCAATGGAAAAATACCTGGCCCAGCATTATCATCTCACTTTTACACTTGAGAAAACTGAGGCTTGGGGATGACAGTAACTGTCCTTTATGACACATCTGGGATTTGGATCCAGGTCTGTACATCTGAAAAAGGCAGGGATGATGAACTGTCATTTAGATAAGGCAAGGAGAATGATTTCCTGCCCTCCTTCCCTACCAACAATTGGTTCGACTTGGACAACATTTAAAACCAAGGCAACACCACTGGGAAACACTTTAAAGTGCATTTGTGTGTATATGTATGTTGAGAGGGTGTGGGTGGTGGGAATAACTAAATATATTAAGAATTTGGCACTGTATGATTATTATTAAATAGGTTTTTATAGTTTTTCATCTTTAATTATTAGTGTTCTTGGTTAGCATTCCCTAAATAAAATAATTACACATATTGAGCAGATGGTCCTTTTGTGTTAATATATTTGAAAATGCATTTATCAAGTTTTGCTAAAATATACCAAAATTTACATTATTTTTTTCCAAACTAATTGCTTGAAGTAGTTTGAAGCATATACATTCCCCAATCCAGACTTAATGACTTCTGTAATGAGATACATTTTCTGCTGGCTTCCTGTGTTTTACAGAGAAGTAATTGTGGTGAGTGGATACAGGATCCTTTCATTGGCACCATCCAGAGGAAAGTCTATTTTGATTTATAGGAAAGAGAATCTTTTTGTCTGAGCAGCCATAGAACCTTGTGTCTAGTTCTGTGTGTCACTTGAAAAGTCTCTTATTGGGCATGAGTGTTTTGAGGAGACTAGCCATTGCTGTGTGTTGGCATAGAAGAGCTAAAGCTTATTCTGTTTTCTTTCCACTATATATACCATATAAATGTCCCGTCCTTCTCAGTCTTGTTTTGTCGTCACACATATTTACCTTGCCCTGGAGTACCAATCCCTAGCTGGTTTAACTGACATTTAAAACCAAGATTTGTCATCAGTATGGAAGAATCTCAAGGACTTAAATTTAATAAGAGGAAAGTCTATTTTGCAATGGATGCCAGGATAACATGTTTTGCAAAAGATGTCAAAATTTCATATTTTTCCAGTTGTTTATCATTGGATAGATACAGCTATCAAATTCTGGCCGAGTCCAGAACACTGATTCTTAACCCTTTTGGGTGACAAAACTCTGAGAATCAGATGAAATATTGGATTCATTCCCTAGGGGAAAAATACGTAATTAAATACACATACAAATCATCATATAATTTTCCAGGTTCATGGGGACTCTAAAGCTGCTGGTTTAAACATTTCTGTTCCAGAAAAAGAAAGCCAGCGTACCTTCTGGCATTACAATTTATTTTCGCCCCTATTGATCTTTACACTCAAAAATGTTTACTGAGTGCCTGCTTCATGCCAGGCCCTGTGTTAAACAACACTAGACAAAGTCTCTACCCTTTGGGAACTTACAATCTCCGGAAGAAATATACGAATCACACAAATACATGTACAGTTACGACTTTGTGTGATGCACTGAAATAAGAATCACCAGGACATTACAGGCTTGAGAGGGACAACTCTGAGTTTGGTTTTTGATATGTTGAGTTTGTGGTGCCTTGGAGAAGTCCAAGTGCAGGATCCACATGGATTGTTGGAGATAAGTCAGGAGCTGGATTAGCTGTCTAGACTGAAATAAAATTTCTCAAAAATATTAACTGAAATCTGAACTAGAGATGAGGCTGTCTAGATAGCTAGTATAGAAATGCGAAGACAAAGCCAGTGACAGAGCTGTGACAAACTCCAGCATTTATTTAACTTGAGACAGAGAAATTGTATCCCTAGGAAAAATCAAGAGAGTGAATATTTGTTTACTAAATGGCTCCCTTCTCTCTTTATTCCCAGAATGCTAGAAGCCAGGCTTATATCTCCCAGGAATGAGATTAGAGAATCTCGCTGTAGCAAATGGACAGATAGATACAAAGAGGAGACCTACAGATACCAATTTGGAAAAGATCCTCCAATGAAGTGGTTCAGACTAGCCCCATTAGTTTGCTCCACATTACAGTGAAGCTGTCAGTTAACATGCTCTGCACCATCCAGAGGGTTCCAGTCTTTTTAGTGCCTAATGCTTAAATATGAAGAGAGCGCTGTAGTCACCTTGGAGGATGGCCTCTGTGTGGAAAGACAGAGACCGAAACAATCAATTAGGAAAGAGTCTGTGTGTGTGTGTGTTGGGGTGGGGGGACTCACAGGAAATACACACAATATAAGAAACAAAAATTTCTAAAAAGTATAATTATTATTTTTAGAAAAATGAAAAATTTAATAGCAAGGGAAAGTGAATAAAAGTTCTTAGACTTGAAATTTGTGTGGCAGAATTTAAAATAATCAATGGAGGGTTTGAAAGATGAAGTTAAGGATGTCTTTCCCAAAGTAGAACAAAAATAAAATGAAACAAATATATGGAAATATGAATAAAAAGGATCAAACCTGGATATCAAACATTCAGCTAATAAAATTTCTAAGAAAAAAGCCCACAGGGGCTGGCCCCATGGCTAAGTGGTTAAGTTTGTGCACTCTGCTTTGGCGGCCCAGGGTTTCACTGGTTTGGATCCTGGACATGGACATCACCACTCGTCAGGCCATGCTGAGGCGGCATCCCACATGCCACAACTAGAAGGACCCAAAACTAAAATATACAACTTTGTACTGGGGGGAGTTTGGGGAGAAAAAGCAGAAAAAAAAAAAAGAAAAGAAAAAAGCCCCCAGAAAATGTAGGAGAGGAAACTATGAAAGAAATATTGCAAGAAAATATCCCAGAACTTACTTTATAGATAGAGAGTACCCACAGAGTGTTTGGCATAACAGATTGAAAAACTAGATCCATAGCAAGATCCATTATCATTAAATTTCAAAAGATTCTAGATTAAGAGAGAATTTTTAAGACTTGGAAAACTTGGAAGGTGGGAGAGAAAAAAACGTCTGTTCACAAATGGTGACAAATCAGAATGGTGACATTGGAATACTTAACAGTGATATCAGAGAAAGGAGATAATGAAGCATTGCCTTCAAAATGTTGAAGGAAGATTTCTTTTTTTATTGGTGAGGAAGATTGGCCCTGAGCTAACATCTGCCAATCTTCCTCTTTTTGCTTGAGGAAGATTGTTGCTGAACTAACAACCATGCCAATTTTCCTCTGTTTTGTATGTGGATCACTGCCACAGCATGGCTTGGTGAGTGGTGTGTATGTCCCTGCCTGAGATCTGAACCTGTGAACCCTGGGCCACTGAAGCAGAGTGCACAAACTTAACCACTACACCATCAAGCTGACCCCAAAGGAAGATTATTTTTAGTTTAGGATTCCATGTATAGAATAAGGACATTTTAGAAATTCCAGGGGCTGGCCCCAAGACCAAGTGGTTAAGTTCACATACTCTGCTTTGGTGGCCTGGGGTTTGCCAGTTCGGATCCTGCGTGTGGACCTAGCACTGCTCATCAAGCCCTGCTGAGACGGCATCCCACATAGAAGAACTAGAAGGATCAACTAGAATCTACAGCTATGTACTGGGAGACTTTGGGGAGAAAAAAAGAAAAGGGGAAGTTTGGCAACAGATCTTAGCTCAGGGGCCAATCTTCCAAAAAAAAAAAAACACCAAAAACACCTCCACTGACCAGCTTAAACTAGTTAGAGAGAGAGAGAGAAATAAAAAAAAGAAATTCCAGCTCTGAAAAAAATATACCTGCCATGCAAATTTTCTCTGTTAACAACTGGAAGATATGTTCCACCAAAACCAAGACAAGAAGCCGTGAGACCTAGAAATATGGGACCCATCATGCAAAGAAGCAAAAGGAATTCCCTGGATCATGGTGAAGGGAATTCATCAAAGCAACATCTGTGTAGCAGTAGTAGAGAGCAAATGGTCCAGATGTGAGCAGGAGGGTGGAGAGAGCTCCAAGAGGGATGGAAATGGAAGTTTCAGATTACCTGAGTATTCGTCCATCTCAGGGGGGGTTTTGCAGCTCTCTCAGAGTTTGCGTGAAGAAATAATGATAAGCACAAGGAAGACTAAGCAACCGATAGGTACATAGAAAACTAGGCAATTATCATCTCTAAGAAAGTTGTAAAACCTGTACAAGAATGAAATTGTATTCCTTGAATGCTATATGGATCATCTGTGAAGAGTATTTATATAACTGTGTTTATACTAAATAGTTATCCAAAAATTTGGTGTAAGGACAGAGACATATCAATGTTACATTATTTGATATAAGAATATTGGGGAAATGGGGAACGTAAGTTATGATAGGGCATTAAAGAGTCACGTCTGCCCCAATCAGAGTACAAAGGCACTTCATAATCGAGGGTGAGGAAGTGGAGAAAAGGGACTTAGACGCCTCTCTTAGAAAGTTTGGCTTTGAAGGAGAGAGGAGAGACGAAGTAGATGAAGGGGGGTGTGGAGTCAAAGTCAGTGTCTGTTAGGAAGGACTTGACAATCTGAAAAACTGGTAAAAGAATTTTCCATTAGGACAAGTTGAATATATGTGAGAGATAGGAGGGTAGTTAATGAAAGTCATTGAGAAGATAAGAGGTGATGGGACCCATACAGCACAGGTGGAGGGACTGACCTTAGTTGTAAGGACAGATCTGTGAATGACAGAGGGAGATATTGGTAAGTCATATTTTTGGTAACAGGAAGATGAAAGAGTTGCCACCTGATGGCTCCTTTTTCCTTTGGAAGGAGAAAACAAAGTCATCTGCTGAAGCGGAGGTATGACGCATCAGAAGGTTGCAAGGTGAAAAGTGTTTGAAACTGCTTTGCAGAAACAGAGAAAGTACTTAGATCAGAGAAAGGTGGTATGATTGTTGGGCTGTGTTGGATCCATTTGAGGTTTATGAACATGGGTTTGTAGTGTAACATATACTCTTTTGTGTAACTCCCTCCAGCACTGCTCAGCCAGCTGTTGAAGTCTGGGCCAGAGAACCTGGATAGTTGGATGCACCCACGCTTGGGGTCTTGCCAAAAAGACTGAACAGAAAACAGGGACTTGAAGGAAGTTTTGAGTACTGGCCTGCATGTTATTGATATGATGGAAATCTAAGCTGAGTCAGTGAGGGAATGAAGAAAGGAGAAAAAAAGCTGATGGAAAGTAGAAAGGTCCATAGACCAGTAGTCCTGTTGAGGTCAAAGGAGGGTAGAGTGGAAGTGGTTGGATATGCAATAATGATAACAGCTAACATTTATTAAGAGCTTACAATGAGCCAGGTCCTACTCTGTGCATTTTAAATGTATTAATTCATTTTATCCCCATAACAACACTTTGTGGGAGGTTCTGTTAAAACCGAGGACTGAGAAGAGAAGTAATATGTTTAAATCACACAGCTCATCAGTGGAGGAGATGGGAGTCACGTTGTCTGGCTCCAGAGCCTGCACGTTTCACCAGGATGCCCCCTCAAAGCTGTGTGAAGGTGGATAGGATTGGTAAATAGGAAGGAGAGGAGACTGTGGTCAGAAAGCCAAGTGTTTGAAGGTGGTTACAGATGATAAAGTCCAAAGTGTGACCATGATGTGGGTCGCTGAGTTATTGTGAAGAGGTTATTAGAGAAAAGGTCAAGGGACTTGGAGGCCAGAGTGTTGGAAAGGGCATCCAAGTGAGAGCTGACATCAGTCAAGTATGGCAGAACTTGGCAGATTGCAGACCCAGGACCTGCAGGCTCACCCCATCATTGGATGAATGGAACGTAGCAGACATGTTGTGCATTGTTATTTATAGACTGTTTGCAGCCCCCACTGGGTTACTGGCTTCTTGAGCCCAGTTGGTGTTATGTTCTATTTCTGGGACCTATCGTAGGGCTGGGCATATATGTGTGATTTAAATGTTTGGTGAATCAATGTGTAACAGAAAGGAATTAACTGAAGTGCAGCTCATTTTGGTGGGCTTTTCTTAGCCAACTGATAATCTTCTATTTTCTTTTATATCTTCGTTTATTTGTTTTTTATAGGAAAGCCCATAATAGTGGTGAAGACTCGGATCTAAAGCAAAGGAGGAGGTAAAAAAATAAAAATGGAGGAGGGTCAGGGAGAGGGAGGATGGGTTGGCAGATTAGCACCACTCAGAGTTGAAGCAAGAGTGTGGAATTTTTTCTTTGTTGCTTTTATTAGTGGCTGCTTTAAGAGTATTAAATTTTTTTTTAACTTTCAAACATCCATTTTGGCTTCAGCTTGTCCTCAGTCTTCCATGCTGTAGCATCTTTAGCCATTTCTCTTTTTTTCTGCTCATTTGTATCTCAGAGGCGCTGCCTTGGTTATCTGTTGCTACGTTAAAACCATCCCAAAACTTGGTGGCTTAAAGCCACAATGACCATATATATCTTGTATACAGTGCTTCCCCCCATCCATGGGGGATATGTTACAAGACCCCCCAGTGGATGCCTGAAACTGTGGATAGTACTGAATCCTATCTATACTATGTTTTTTCCTATATATACATACCTATGATAAAGTTTTATTTATAAATTAGGCACAGTAAGAGATTAACAGCAATAACTAATAATAAAATCAAACAATCATAACAGTATACTGTAATAAAAGTTACCATAGATCTTAGCAACCTCAGTGTACTTTTTTTTCTTTCCTTATTAAGTCGAGGACATTCACCTTTTCACTTAGAGGAAGCACTTTTAGGCTTCTCTTTGTCATATCTGAATTGTCAGCGTCACTACTCTTACACATTATTAAGTAAAGTAAGGGTTACCTGAACTCAAGTGCCGCGATAGTAGATCTAATACCTGAGACGGCTACTAAGTGACTAACAGGCGGGTAGCGTGCGCAGCGTGGATATGCTGGACAAAAGGATGATTCCTGTCCCACCAGGACTGAGTGGGACAGCCCAAGATTTCATCCCACTACTCAGAATGGCACACAATTTAAAACTTATGAATTGTTTATTTCTGGGCTTTTTCATTTAATATTTTCAGACTTCAGTTGACCATGGGTAACTGAAACCCTGGATAAGGGGGGACTCCTGTCTGTCTGCTGGCTGAACAAGCCATTCTGTAGCTAGTCTTGCTGGTCCCCGTAGAGCTGCAGTTGGATGGCAGGCGAGGCTGGAATATTTGAGGCCTCTCTCTCTTATGTTTGGCGTCTCGGGAGAATGAGTAAGAGGCCTGGGGTCTCTCTTTCTCTCCTTGGTCTCTCCACCTGGTGGCCTAGGCTTCTTGAGATGGCGGCTGTGAGGAAGCAGGAGCTACCAGCCCTGTTAAGGTGATAGTCCGGGAGCTGGCAAGAGTGTCCCGTCCACCTCACTGTGTTAATAAAACCAGTCACAGGACCAGCACAAATTGAAGAGGCAGGGATAAACTCTGCTTCTCTTCATGTGGGGTGGGGTTGACAGGACTTGGTGTCCATATTTAGTCCACCACCGGGGCTTGTAGCTTTGCGCTGTCAGGGTTCTGTTGGAAGCGCTTGATTTTGTGGTCCTGTCTGGGTGCATGGTGATGTTCGCCTTAATCTGCTTTCACCTTTCTGTAGACTTATTCATGTCTGACTGAAGTGAGAAACACCGACTAGGAGAGGGATAATACAGCTACTTATAGTTGGATTAGAAATTTTGCTGCAAAATTAATTCTAAAGAACTAATGTGAACCTTTCTGAAATTTTTTATCTGTCACAAATGTGGGCTTTTTCTTTTACTCTTGTCATTTTGTCTTCAGGTCGCGCTCACGCTGTAACACAAGCAGCGGTAGTGAATCAGAAAACTCTAACAGAGAACACCGGAAAAAGAGAAACAGGTAATATTGGAATATCATAGCTAACTGGAACTCCGAAATCAGAGGCTGCTGTTGGTGACAGAAGCTGTGTATTCTATGTACTTTTAAGCCTGATATTCTCATCTGTATTTAAGGAATCTGGCACCATTTTGACACATTGTTAGGAAACCTTAGCTCTTTGCACTGAGTTTCTTATCTTTATAAGATGATTAAACAACTTGAGAATGAGTTTCCTTCTTGTTAATTAAAAAAAAAGATCTATATTTATGTACAATGTGTAGTGAATTTGTTTGAGTGGTAAGAAATTTTACCATTTGCGGAGGGAATTCTCCCCAAAGTATCTTTTAACACGACATTACTGTATTTTGCCCAACCAAAAATAAGAGATTCATTGTTTCATAGATTTCAAAGTTTCCGCCTCATGTAGATATACATGCAAATATGTGTTTATATTCATGTCAGGCACACGCAATTAGATGGTTAAATGCAGTTAGTTCGTACCTTTGACTATTTTTAAGAGCATGTAATCAGTATTAGTGATGGCTTAATGCATTAATCAGTTCTTCCTAATTCCAAACTATTTATTTGAAAACAAGTGTTCACGTAGTGAAAGAGCCCCAGTTTGGGAGTGTGAAGGATTTGGTTGCTGGTTGCACCAGTTTCTAACCCAGTGCTTCTCAACTGGGGGCAGTTTTGTCCTCCCGCTCCGCTCCCTGAGGATAGTTGGCAATGTTTTGAGACACTTTTGATTGTCACAGTTGGGTGGAGGGATTGCTGCTGGCCAGAGATGCTGCTAAACATCCTACAAGGCACAGGACAGCCCACTACAACAAAGAACTATGTGATCCAAAAAATGTCAGTAATGCCACTGTTGGGGAAACCCATTGTCACCTGATGTGGAACTCTGGCCTGGTTGCCTTACTTTTCTGGGTTGTCTTTTTCTCTTCTGTAAATGAGGAAGTCGGATGAGATAATCTCCAAGATTCTTTAGTGCTCGGAGCCCTTGTGCTCGGCACTCGTTGAGTCGGCCTCCCTCTCTAACTACAAAGCCTCTGTAATAATAGCCCAGACAGCATTGTAGGAGTGGACCATTTTCTTAGGAAAGCTTTCAGTGTGGAGCATTCTTAGGGGCTGGAATCACACTAGAGAGAGGTGAGATCTCAGTGTGTTATGACACCTTTCTCAAGGAAACGATTTCAGTTTCTTCATCTGAAAAAACCCAATTGTGAAGAGTAGTTCTCCCTCAGGTACCCTCTTCCTGCTCTAAAATTCAGTATCTGCACGAACAACACAAAACAATGCAAAAAACAAAAAAAATCCCACTTTTTCCCCTCGTATTTTGTGCGTATTGATCAAGCTAGTATCTTAACAAATGTATTTCTGTTTTGCTTGCAGTATTCTAAGATGTGCTTGGAGATGCTCTAGTCTCAAGTTGTCAGAAGGTGGTCTTTTTAAAAACAGTGTGTTTTGGGGCCAGAAGTGCTCATGGTGACATTTGCTGTTAAAAGTGAAACGCTATTTGAAGGTTGCCGACGAATCCTTAAATAGCTCCTTGCTGATCTAGTTGCCCCGGCTTCAGTGTTTCTTATAGGGGCTTTCTCCCTCAAGAGTTTCTTCCCCTGCCCCCATGAGCAATTTTTTAGGTCGGCTTTCTTTGTACTGTATAAATAGTATATTTTAGCCTGATGGTGGTTCTGAATGTTTAAATGCCAGTGTGCTTTGTAAGGCTATTAGTGAGAAATCACTTTCAAAACACGCTCTGACACAAAGGCTTTCAAACTCATTTATTTTACCTGCAGAAAGACTGCCCTAGGGTTACATAAGTTGCCTTTATCTGTAAAAGATGAGGTCCAGAGGCTAGCTCTCAGGGGCATAGCAAAAAGTAGGCACAGGAAGAAATATGTCTTCCAGTTCTAATCCCCATTCCTGAAAATTCTGGTGCAGCAGGTGACACTGTGCAGGGAAAGAGGGTGCACACACATCACACTGTCTCTGGGTGCCACTTACCCGTTATGCTGTGCTACTGCCAACCCCTTCTATCCTATCATTGACCTTCTAAATTTTGCCAGAACCCACTCATTCCACATCAGGATGCCTAGATCTGAATATTTAAACTACAGCCCTGCTAATGGTCCCAATATGTCTTGTGTCCGTGATGAAGGGTTGTCTCTTGGTGTCTGACATCCTACTTGTGCAAAAGACTCCTTTTTAGGGGAGAGGATGGATCTCTTCAACCTCATTCGTCCTTTCTTACTTCAGCCAAGAGTGTGACCCAGCCAAGCTCTCGGCAGCATCCTCTGTGCTTTTGTTAAAGGACTCTGGTAACCCTAGAATGAGGCAAACCGAATCTTGAACCTGCTGATGCTCTACTTCCTGCCAGCAAGGTCGCTAAATTCAGCCCCGGATGCTTCAGCACTTTCGCAACCAGAGCCTGCCCCTAGGAAAGAGGGGTGCCGACCACACAGATTTGCTTTTCACACACGGTTTTGAAGCCCACGATGTTTCTTTCTGGGGGAGCCCAGACAGAGTTGGGTTTACTTTCTGGAGAGTGTGTGTGGTCTTCAGGATGTTGTTCCCTTTGCCCCATTCCTTCTTGCTGGATTTTTTTTTTTTTTTTTTTAACATAAGGAAATCTTTCCTGTTAGGTTTTGAGGCCTCTCTGGAAATAGTGTTTTCTCACCAAGTCTACCTATTGGAGCATAAGCTGCTTTGCTGTTCCCAGAGATAACACTTTAAACATCTCTCATTTTGTGTGAAGAGAAAAGTTAATAAAACAATGTTTAGAAATCAACTTTATCTAAAGCAGTAGTTAGGGCTTTAAACAACCATTAAAAAAATCATAATCCACACCAACCCTGGAATGCTAATGTTAGAAACAAAGATTGTTGTTTTGTTTAGTTTCGATTTTAGAAAAATGTAACTGTAGATAAACCTGCTTCTCTCACCTTTGTGTCCAGAACCAACGAGGCCAGATTTGTGAGGGCTCTTTTCTCAGCTGTGCGTTAACTGCAGGGTTTCATCCCATGCTGTTTCCTACACCCGCAGGAGGCCTCAGCTCCCCCTTGATTCGGGGGATTGTCTGCCTGTCTTCCCCCGCTTTCCACGTCAGTTGTTCTTTCTTTACTGTTTTCATAATGTGGATGAGTATCCTATAGTTTTCTAGGTATTGAAGTTTGAGAAGATAGTGTTTCACTCCCTTTTTATAACTAGCTGGAAGTTGCAGCACAGTTTCTTGTTATAACATCTAAGGTGACATAAAATCCTTGTTTCCCTCTAGTGTCTCTACTTGTCTCCTCCTCATCATCTCTATTCTTGGGCCTCCCTTTTAAATCTATCACTTTATCTTTACTCACTCGGTTCCTTTCTTCTTCTTTTCTTGGCTTCTTTCCCACTCTTTCTTCCTTTCTTCTGTCTTCTCTGAATTCTGTCTCCACTTAGGAGCCAATGATATGTTACAATCTCCTGAGGTTGTGGGTCAGGGTTGTGGTTCTGCCAGGTACTGGTGTTTGACCTTGGGCAACTCTTGTAACCAGTTTAAATCTTAGTTTTCTCATCGTTAAAGTGAGGTGTATAATCTTTTTTGTTGAATGAGTTACTGTAAAAATCAAATGAAATCTAAGAGATGAGGGCACTTTGGGGTATAAAACCACACAGTTCAGTATCTAAGTTTGAAATTGGGCCTCTTCTTTGCCTGTCCCTCATCTCCTTACCCCTTTCCAGCTTTTTCCCCTTTTCCTTTAGTCCCATCTTCCATTCTCTCACTTTCCCTATCTGTACATATTTAGTTATTTTTAGACCAGGTATTCTTATCCTCTGATCCATGGGTGGGTTTTAGGGGTCTCATAACCCTATGAAATTGTCTGTAAAGTTCTGTGTGTTTCCAAGTGTACAATTTTCTGTTGATAGAGTCTGTAGCTTTTAACAGGTTCTTAAGGGGGTGACTATGTGACCCCCAGAAACTTCTGAAGTGATCATTATGATTTAAATAGTGAAGGGCAGGTGGATAGTGGGAAATGAAATTGATATTTCAGTTTACTGGTGGGATTAAAAACTAAAATGCTTAAAATTACTTTCCTATACTGATTTGTGAAATAATTGGTTCAATTAAATTCATCAGACTGGGAAAATACCAAGTACAAGGCAGTATGACGTTAATGATCTATGTGAATATTAGATTGTATTAGTTTTCACTAGTTAGAATTTTGAATCTTGTACCTGAGATCAGAAGGGTCAGCCAACTGGTGTCTAGAGGTTTGAGCCTATAGGCCACGCTCGGGACTTGCCCAGGGTGTATGTTGAAGGAGGGCCTAGGAAGTACCCTTATCAGAGTGAAACGTTTCACAAACCAGCTTTCCCTGAAAATGCCTTGAACTTAATATAAAATATCCTTCACATTCAAAGAAACTGGTCTGCAAAATATCCTTTGTGCTATTCATGAAAATCAGCAGTCCTTGGAGCATTCACTGGGGAGAATCTGTGAATTACTCAGTCATTAGCTTTGATGTGTTGCTAGGCTTTTAGGATTTTGAAGTGGGAGATTTGGAGCAGGTAGGGGTCAGGGACTCGGAGAAATAGTCTGGTGTTTTTTGCATAAGCATAAAAGTGGAAGTAACTTTGGAGCCTGGTGAGGATTAAGAGTAAGAAATGAGAAAAGCTTGGGGTAAGAGCAGGACTAGAATAAATTGGCAACAGGGGACCATTTGGACCTTTCTCTAATTTTATTCTGGGATGTTTGCCTCATAAACACATGAGTTATGTATGTGAGGCTGTGTGTGTGCACATGTGTGTGTGCATGCAGGTGCAGCAGAGCACAGAACAAAGAATTAGGGAGCCTGCATTATGAATTTGACCCTGCTTTGAAGAGGTCTGTGGCTAGGAGCTGGTTACTTTATCCTCTGAATCTTAGTTTTCTCATATGCAAAGTGGAATAATACCTGCCCTGCCCACCTCACAGGAGGTTTGTAAAGATCCCGGAGATAATGATGTGCTTTGAAGAGGAGAAAGTGCCTGCATAGGCAGGT